AGCAAATCCTGGACAACATCTGCATATCCAAGTACTTCATATGGAAAATATAATGCTTCCTCATTCTCATATATGTCAACAACTTTTCGACAGAATTCATGTATCCACTGTAGTGCTACTGTTTTAACTGCCAGAGGAGAAGCGACATGAAGAGCTCTTATGAGAAGGATAGCGTACATTTTCAGATGCTGTAAGACTAGCCCAGGAAGTTCAATCCTCCCACTCTCAACCTTTTCGAGTTTCTCAGGTGTTGCTTGCTGCGAAATTGTGGCACTAACTTGTTTGCTTAGAGAGCATTTGCTTAAGAATTCAAATGCAGCTAGTCTTTCTAACGTCTTGAGAACTGTGACTTGCAATTCTACATGCCCAAGGACAGGTAACTCAAAAGGGTTGAAATTGCCAATAATGCTTGATATTAACTTTCCAGACCTGTTAAGATACAGAGTGTAGATTTCTGCTTGGCCAATCATGCTAGTAGCTCCACTGCCTAAAGAAACACAACTAAGTAAGACCGCCAAATCAAACTGAACCAATGCAAATAGCTCAGATCTCGAGTAAGATTTAAGAATTTTGACATCATATCCCAGATTCTGCAGGTCTGATTTTTGTCTGAGCATACACCTCAACAAATCCAGCTCCTCAAGCAGTACAATTACTGATTTTTCAACAACCTCAAAGTTCCCATGTTGAAGCAAAAATATGTAAGTAGCTGCTGAACTTCCGGGTACTAAGTGGTTGGGATGCAAACGCAGCTGAGATATAGGCGCATCAAATTGTAATATCTTGTGCACAGATGATGGAGAAAGGCCAAGCTTTTGCAGGGACAACAATTGCAAATTGGTTTTAAGAACTCCATGAACCTGAAAGGAATCAAGCCTCTTCATCCTCATAGACTGGTCTTTACATTCCATAACCAAGCTCTGAAACAAGATATCAACTGCAATAGGGTAATATGTTGCAAATCGTGCACTCAAAATTTCAGCAAGCAAAGTCAAGCATCTCCAAGAATCATCAATCCATTTTGACCACCCAAACTTCTTTCCTATCATAGACATGCATCCTAATAGAATAGGAACCATTTTACAAAGAGGTTCACTGATCTGCTCAAGCATATTCATCTCTAGCAAACCTGATGCCGTGGACTGTAACACTGTAGAAAAACAAGACAATAATGCAAGTAATCTTTGGAACTGCTGGGAGCTACCAGGACTTGCATCCTGAAGCAGCACGTCCATATCACCTAGAAACTTTGAGAGCAATCCCAACGGGAACTGCATATTGTTCACCCAATATTTCTGAAACTGCAGGAAACTATCCATAATAACGCGCCTATCAGACTCTGCAAGGTCTGGTACCATCGCCCACCCAAGGAGGAGATCGACAACATCAACAAAATGGGGCTGAAAGCATCTAAAAAACTTCAAGGATATAAGTGTTAAAACAGCGAGAAGTCTGCGCAGTAAGCTCAAGGAGGTTCTTTCATCCTCAAGAAGCTCTTGGCAAGCCTTGAGAATTGGCAATGCAAATCTCTCAACTGCAGAAACATCCCCAATATTAAGAAATTCACGCAAGCCCTCCAATGCAAGATCAGTTGTCCCATCCACTACAGTGCTAAGCAATGGCAATGCCCAACCAATGAACCGATCAACCAAACTGACAAGAATGACATGGTTCTGCCTTCCATTTGGAGCTATCGAGATTAAACATAGTACAGAACACAACGCACCATAAGCAGTGGCTGCTGCCTGGCGCACTGAATATGACCTGAGCAGCAGTTTTTACGCCAAACAAAAATCTTCATCAGATGATTTTATAATTTATAGTACAAATTATTTAAAAAGTTGATGTGGAAACACATTAGTAGGCTGTCAATTTGATGGTATCTAATCAAAACACCTGTATGGCAGCTTCTTCACAATTGATTGTGTAATATGATTCCTCACAAGCAACTAACAGAATTGTGCTAATAGCACCAAGTCCCAGGAACCCGATGTAAATCCAAAAAGAAAAAAAACTACAATACAAAAAATTTCTTCCGAGACTTGTCCGAATATATGGAGGAAGGTGATTATTTTTTTATTTTTTTAATGACAAGGAAAACCCGCAACCGCCACCCTTTGGATGCGCATAGGGTAAAATTTCCGCTCCTATGCAATAGCTAGCAAACCCCGTAGGAGAGGTAACCTGCACTAGGCAAACCCGGTGCGACAAGCTCAACCCATTCGCGAGCAATTGGTTTCGAACTTGAGACCTCTACATGGAAGTCCCGAGTGTAACTCCAGTTATGTGATCTTCAAGCGGTCAAGCCCCAATAAAGGAGTGGGCTAATTTTATAACCTAAACACTTCTGATTATGGACAGAAATTCCATCATGCTTCTTACTTCCCAGTCATTACCTTCTGAACTTGACGCTCTATGTATCTGCTAAACTAAGTTAATTCACAGCAGCTACAGGGCTATTCACAAAACTAAATATTCCTTGATGCCTTTTTCAATTCAATAACTTATTTCATCAAAAAAGAAAAAAACTAATATATCTAAAAACTCCTCCTTCAGTGTTGTGTTGCGCACCTATTTGTCCAGACAGAGTAGTGTGGTCTCCCCATCACCTATTTTAATTTGAATGTTGCTGCTAAATGTTTGCCATAGTTTTACTAAAACCTATGTGTTTTGAAGGAAACACCCCATGAGGACCCGGTATTGTCCTGGTGCACCAAAAACTGTTTCCACTGTTTTACCTTCACAGCCTTCCTCCAGAAGGCATTCACTTCAGTTCTATATCTTCTTAATCATTTCATAAGTAGGCTTTGCCATGCATTGTCAGATACCTTAATCCCAATCTCCTTTATCCTTGGGTAAATATAAACCTTCCCATTACGCCAAATGAAACTTGTGATGAGTATTTTTGTCTTCCTACACCTATGTCCTAATCTCAAATTAGGGTCAGTTGAGTAAATCCTCATTATTGATTCGGCTTTGTTGAACCAGTTTTATCTGAATACTTAACAATTTATGTTTTGGGGGAAACTAGAGGTTCTCAAACACCAGAGGTTCTTTACATTTTCTATTAGCACAGAAATCTTTAAATAAACTAAAAAACTATTAGCAAAGTGTATTGACACGACAAGCTGAATCTGAATTAATCTGTATTTCATCTATATAGGTATTTTCCATTGTGTACTGGATTTCAAGAGATTGCAAGCTCTTTATGACAATTTCCTTCATGCGACTTAGGTTTATTTACCTTAAACATAACAATGATACACCAATTACATCAAGGCAAAATGGATTAAAATGTTCAACTACTTGCTGTATCTACCATTTTGTAGTTTGTTAGCATGGTCATGAGTACTTCACATTAAATCTTCAAATAGTGTCAGACCTTGCTAAATATGAAAACACTCATGTAAGATCTATGCCCGTAATGCATACTCATTGTTAAACAACTACCATAAAAGTTAAACCAAGAAAATGTATGCTGAGTATCTTAAACAACTTATCCGTGACAAGTCCTTCCTCCACTACCCTATAGACCATTCAGGTAGCAATAATGATGGCAAAGAGCAAATTAACTTTCTCCGAAACAGTGACTACAAAAAATCCATTACCAAATTGTAAAGCCTATTCAAGAATAACCAACCCCTCCATCACAAAACTAGCATTTACCAATGAGCCTATTTTATTAGGGGACATTGGTCGAAAACATGGCGTGCATATATAAGAACAAGTGAGAGAAAAAGACATACTTGTCGGAGAGTAGCTGAGAGAAGCCCTGGGCAAGAAAAGAAGCGGAGTGAGTTATGAGGAGAGAGTTTGGAGGGTACAGAATGGCGCGTTGTAGAGAAGTTATAGCGGCAACACGAGAAGAGTCGTCATCTTCAGTAACAGAAGTTGAAGTGGATTTGGAAGGATCGTCTTTGGGTAAAGCGACGGTGAGAAGTGCCGCTAATTGCTGCTGCTGGTGATGAAGCCCTTGCATCATCCCTTATTCTGATGATGAATTCTTCATTGTCTTCTTCGGCACTTCTTGAAATTCCGTTCTCCGGCGACCAACCTTTCAATTTCAACAAACGTCGTAATTGTTAATGTATAAAATAAAATAAAAAAATGAAAATGCACCAGCCCGGCCTCTAAAGATTTTTTATTATTCATATTACGCCCCACAACTTTCCTTATATACATTTACAAGTAGAATATTTGGAGAAAATGATCTGTTATGTTTGGGGTAGATATAAAATGGTTCTTCCTATTTTTTTTTTATATTAGATATTTTAACTTAAAGAGGTTAGGTTTATATTATGAAATATCTATTAGGAAAATAAGTTAAATTTCAACGAGTAGTAAAACTTCATATTTGTTCCAATTAATGTTGATGTGAATAATTAACTGTTAATTAGATACTAAAGATATATGCGTAAATTTTTTCAAAATATGAGTCAGAAGCATTTAATAGAAATAACTTTTATTATGAGTTCAATTGAATACTTTTATAGTTCAAATATCTAAATAAAATTTACTGATAAATTTAAAATTCATTCACATATTTAACCTTCATAATACATGCTAAGATCCTGTAAAGTGTGTGTTGATCATCAGTATAACCCTGACTCGTTAATCACTCGATTGTGAAATTCTTGCTCTTGGAATTCAGGTACTTGATCAGAGCTGGGACTTAGCCACAAGACCAACTTGGTTAGTTCCCTGGTAGATTGGTGAAGTGACCATATCTAGAAACTGTTCCTCTGTTAAATTGTCCAGAAAACAGCTGTTCTTGGTGCACTTCTATAATTACTCAAGTTGCAGACAACCTTCGAAGCATTATAACTAAACACAGCTACATTTTTCAACTTCAGCATGAACGGAGAAAGTAGATCATAACAACAACATAATCTGTAATCTAAACGCAAACCTTATGTTCAAGAAAAACACAAGATGCTTCCTAATAATATAGTTTGAAGAAGCGCAACACTTGAAAAAATTGCACAAATTTAGTAAAACAATTACCAGATAAACAGCTCCATAATAATATGTCAAAGTTCAACATAATTGTTTGCTAGGAATATATCATACAATAATTTATCGCAATTCCAATAGTATTCAGAGGACACACTTTAAACAAAACCATAAATTCCTTTCTTTTCCAAAATTGCAAAATTTCAGGCAGTTAATGCCACTTCAAATCACTAGGTATTACAATATGATACCAAATTCATGAAAGAAAAAAAAGAAGCACTCAGCGTGAACCTCAAGCGACAGCAACTGGCTGTTGTTTCGAGGGCTCGACGGGTTTCTTGGAATCTCCGAGGAAATCTTCGAGATTATAAATAACGGTGATATAAAGGGAACAACTAGGGCATCGAGCGATCTCTTCCCCAATCTTCAGTTCTTCCTTCGTGATTTGAAACAAGTCACCGCACGGACAAGGATAAGTATAAGATTGGAGCTCATCGTTCCACTCCATATCCTCAATCTCCACGTCGTCGTAAGACATCCTTGGTGATTTATTTCTTCCTTTTCTTGGAGATTAGGGTTTTTGGCTCGGCAATTTGGTCGAGGTTATAAAGTCCGGTCGTCGAAGTTGATTGGGTTTTAAAGAAAAATGAAATTGCACCTCAAGTCCTTTTAATAACTTTTAAAAAAATGTACAATATGACCCCCAAACATTAGTAAATTACCACTTCAGCATGACCAAGTAAAATGCTCCCACTCTCGTTTAAAAAAGATTGTCTCTATTTCTTTTTTAGTTTGTTTAAAAAAGAATGTCTATTTATTTTCTTTTTTTGCCAACATTTTAATTTTAACTTTGTAGATCACACAAGATTAAAGAATGTTTTGATACATTTGACGTAACTTTAATTTAGAATTACAAAAAAAAATCTTTTTTTAAACTCCGTTTCAAATTAAATTAGATGTTTTTTTAAAAAATTATATTATTAGTAGTAAATGTACAATAAGACCCTAAACATTAGTAATTTACCACTTCACCCCACCGTCCGTATACAGCGCCGGCGGCAGCGTCAGCGACATGAGAAGTGTGGAACTACTCCGTTCGCTTTCACTCCGGCGTTTCTCTACACTTGGTCTATCCAAATCTACTTCTCCTACCATTCCGATTACTGCCGAAGTTCTGCGAGAATCAGTTACTTCTTCTCAGTGGCATTTTATCAAACATGTTACGGGAGAACTAAACCCCACCTTGATTTCAGCTACTCTTCCAGAGCTTCGTTCATCTCCTGACCGAGTACTCACTTTCATCGAAAATCTCGGTCCTGATTGCTTAGACATATCCTGTTATTGTCTTGCCATTTCCATACTCTCTCGTCTCCCCTCGCCTAAACAAGCCACTCACCTTCTCAAGCAAGTGATCAGTTCTCGCTTTGCTTCGCCTAATGAGATTTTTTATGGGCTTGTGAGTGCTCGGGAGAAGCTGGTGGTGAAGAGTTCAATTGTGTTGGATTTGCTTGTAAGGGCGTATTGTGAATTGAAGAAGGGGGAGGATGCATTAAAGTGCTTTTATTTGATGAAACAGAAGGGAATTTTGCCAAAGGTAGAGACTTGTAATGATTTGTTGAGTCTTTTTCTTAAATTGAATAGGACCCATTTGGCTTGGATTGTGTATGCCGAGATGTTTAGGATGAAAATGAGTTCTACTGTATGTACGTTTAATATAATGATCAATGTTTTGTGTAGAGAAGGAAAGTTGAAGAAGGCAAAAGAGTTCATTGAACACATGCAGTGTTCAGGGGTTAAGCCGAATTTAATATCTTTTAATACTGTGATTCATGGTTATTGTCTGAGAGGGGATATTGAAGGAGCAAATAAGATTTTTGAGGCGATGACAGCAAAAGGAATTGAGCCTGATTCGTATACGTTCAATTCTCTAGTTAGAGGGATGGTGAAAGAGGGGAGGGAAAAGGAGGTCTCTTCCTTGTTAGAGAAAATGAAACCGTTTGGGTTGATCCCTACAGCTGTGACTTACAACACTCTGATAGATTCATGCTGCAGTAAAGGGGACCTAGAAAAAGCATTTTTTTACCGAGATGAGATGGTTAAGATAGGCATCGTGCCGAGTGTTGCTACCTATAACTTGTTGATCCATGCATTGTTTCTTGATGGCAGAATGGTAGAAACTGATGATTTGCTGAAAGATATGTCGGAGAAGAGAGTACTTCCTGATGGTATTACATACAACATATTGATCAACGGCTATTGCAGGGTGGGAAATGCAAAGAAGGCATTTAAGTTCTATGATGAATTGTTGAGTAGGGGTCTCCAACCAACTATTGTCACTTATACATCTCTAATCAAAGTCTTGGGCAAAAGGAATAGGATGAAAGAAGCAGATGATTTAGTTGTTGAAATATTGCGGAAAGGGATATTTCCAGATCTGATTATGTTCAATGCATTAATTGATGGCCATTGTGCCAATGACAACGTTGAGCGTGCTTTTGATACACTGAACGGGATGAATAAAATGAATGTTCAGCCTGATGAAGTTACCTACAATACTCTGATGCAAGGGTATTGTAAGAAGGGTAAAGTTGAAGAAGCTTGTATGCTTCTCGAAGAGATGAAGGGAAGAGGAATTAAACCTGATCATATCAGCTATAACACTCTAATCAGTGGGTATAGTAGAAGAGGCGACATGCATGATGCATTCAGAATTCGTGATGACATGTTAAGTGCAGGGTTTAACCCCACTCTTCTCACTTACAATGCTCTCATACAAGGTTTATGCAAAAAGCAGGAAGGTGTACTTGCTGAGGAACTTCTCAAAGAAATGGTTAGTAAAGGCATTACTCCTGATGATAGCACTTATCTTGCTTTGATTGAAGGGATTGGTGATGTTGATAGTTTCTTGGGGAGAAAAGACATTTCATAAGGTATCTGTCATGGTGTTTGTTTATACATACAGATACAGATAGAGAACTCCGAGGACGGTGTCTATTGTGGTTAATGATGGTTATAAGGGAATTAGGAAAGACATCTGCGCATGCTGATAGTTGTCATTTCCATAATGCTGACAACTCCTTGGTGATTCTTTGGATAAAAGGGGACTCGCGTGGCTTGAAGTACCTGCTGAAACTGAAAGATTCACACTGTTATGGTTCATCCTTTCCAAGTGGCTTGCATCTTCAGATTTTTTCTGATCAGATCGACATGACTGTCTGACTACATAGCCAGTTACGCATTGCTTCATTGCCTCATAGCTTTTGGCCGGAAAGAGACTGTTTTCCATGTGTATTTTGCAATAATTATATCCATGTTTAGCTTCTTTAACCTGTTGTGCCTCCAATGACAACTGGCTGATCAAAAGAGAAAGGAACTTATGGGCTTCCCTCAATTTTTGGTTTAGTGAGACACTTCAAGTTCTCTGTAATCCTAATCACTGGAGTTGCATATGTTCTTGATCCTAAATCCACACACAACAAACAATAAATGATCTATTGATCCAGATTCCAGCTGCTACCTTAATTACGTCTTTTTCTCGAAAGTGAAGTTTGGATCATTAATAGAAACCTGCTGTTAAATAATTGTAGAAATTGGTTCTTTCTTAAGATGTCTCGTTTGACTGAACACAATATTCAAGAAAAAGAAATTTTTTGAATCTTACTTCTAAAATAAGTAAATAGACATTTTTGTAGCTACAAACTAATCTTTTTTCAAAAAAAAAAGAACTAAAGATAAAATTAAATTATTTTCAAAAAAAAAGATTCAATTTTTCTGAAACCAGCTTTTAGAAAAAAGGATTTTAAGTTGACACTACAATCCACTCAAAAAATAATTGCTTTCCGGCCAAACTTACGAAAAAGCAAATGAAGCCCAATAAGCATTTTTAGTGCGCAAATACCTAGATCCCATTTGACCATAAGATTTTCAAAAGAAAATTTTGAAAACAATGTTTGTTTAAGAAATTTGGCAAGTTCATACAAATATTTCCCTAGTTAGTCAACTTCAAATTTCACAAACTCATTTTTCCAAATTTCAACTAAAATCTACAGCCAAAAGTACAAGTCGCCATTAACAAAGTTCAAGGTGAACAGAGAATGAAGATAGCAGAATCAATAAAATATTTAGCTTCAAGTTGTTTTTGTCTCGAGATCCAGGAAATACATTAAACAACTTCACTTCTGTTTTAGCCCCAACTTTACTCCAATGTTTTTTTCTCTTCTGATACAACAACTCAGATAGATAGTTTCTGACCACTAACTCCAATCCCCATGGCTAGATTTTCATCAAGAAACAGATGTTCATATCCTTTACTGGTTTGTATCTTGGTGGGGTTCTTGATTTTGCTTCATTTCTCATCTTTGGGTAGTTATAGAGGTATTCAAAAAGGGCAGATTCAAGAAAGATATGAAGAGTTGGAGGAGATCCAAATTCCTCAATCAAGTGGAAGCCAATCCTCAGAAGCCAACATGCTAATTGATGAATTCCTTGATAAGTCTTCTAAACTCAGGCACATTTTCTTTCCTGACATGACGACTAGCATAGACCCTAGAAAGAATACTAAAGATGACACCTTTTACTATTACCCTGGGAGAATTTGGTTAGATACTGATGGGCATCCTATTCAAGCTCATGGAGGTGGGATTCTTTATGATGAAAGATCAAGAATGTATTTTTGGTATGGAGAGTACAAGAATGGTCCTACTTATCAAGCTCGCGGGAAGAATGTAGCTCGAGTAGACATCATTGGTGTTGGCTGCTACTCTTCTAAAGATTTGTGGACTTGGAAGAATGAGGGTATTGTACTAGCTGCGGATGAACATGACGAGGATCATGACCTTCACAAGTCTAAAGTATTGGAGAGGCCTAAAGTAATCTACAATGAGAAGACAGGTAAATATGTAATGTGGATGCACGTTGATGATTCAAATTATACCAAAGCCTCTGTTGGAATTGCCATAAGCAATTCCCCTACTGGTCCTTTTCGATATCTATACAGTAAAAGGCCTCATGGTTTTGAAAGCAGGGACATGACTTTGTTCAAAGATGATGATGGTAAGGCATATGTTATTTACTCCTCTGTACACAACAGGGAGCTTCATATTGGTCTTCTTGATCAAGATTATGTAGATGTTACTAATGTTATGACAAGGGTTCTCGTGGGGCAGTATAGAGAGGCCCCGGCCTTGTTCAAGTACCAAGGAACTTACTACATGATCACATCAGGATGCAGTGGTTGGGCACCAAATGAGGCACTGGCTCATGTGGCTGAATCAATTATGGGTCCATGGGAGACTATAGGCAACCCATGTATAGGAGCTAACAAAGTTTTTCGAGTCACCACATTCTTTGCTCAGAGCACATATGTGCTCCCCATTTTTCCTGGTTCATTTATTTTCATGGCAGATCGCTGGAATCCAGATGATTTGGGTGATTCTAGATATATATGGCTTCCTTTAACTGTGGAGGAAGTAGCAGGCAGTCAACGACCAAGAGTATCTATCTTTTGGCACAAAAGATGGAAGCTCTTTAAAAGTCCAGTATAGAAGAATGAATGCTTATAGTTTTCTCATCATAGAGCAAGTTGCTAGCTTTTTGTGGATTATTAGAACTAATGTGAAGTGATTACAAGAACATCTATTAGAATAACTTTTACCTAATTGGAACTTGCATTACACACAATTTTATGCCATGTATATCAAGATGTATGATTGCAGCTTCTTATTTATGCATTTTCAAGCAACCAAAAACTATCTCCAACTCAAGGAGACAGAAAAGACTTAATTTTTTTCATCAGTTTTGCGACACACAACCAAATTGTAACCTCCAATCAACTTGCAATTTGGTGAGCTTTTCAAAGTCATTTTTTCCAATTTTCCTTAATCTTGAAGTAAGACTAGAGTTTCATCCCATGACAGGGAATTCAATTACATTCTTACAATGAATGAGTAAGCTAGATAGATGGTATTGCTTATATGGTCAGAGCCCTACAGGTGAAAATCTTGCCAGGCAACACATAACATTTAGAAAGAAGTGTATACAATAAGAGGGTTAGAGTTTCTGGAAGAACTCATAGTTTATAAGTTTAACATATATATCCAAAACAAATCAATTCTACCTCAGAACAGAGGATTATAGGAATTAGAAAGAGAGTGAATCTTGATGCAGGAAAAAAGAAAATGTTTTAACAGACCAAAGTTTCATTCAGATTCCTCTACAGCAGTTTCAATTCGGAGGAGGACGAATCCAACAGCAACTCCAACAAGAACCAAGCCAGGAATAATGGAAGCAATCCTGAAAATCTCAAGAGCAGCATTGCAGGTAGAGGACAAAGCTCCACCTTTGGCTTGTGATGATGGGGTTTTCAATGAGCTAACAATCTTTGCAAAAGATTGTTCAGTGGACATAGGGAGGCCTAATGAGGCAACATGGTTGTTTGCCTTTAGCCCTTCAAATGAATTCAAACCACTAATGTACTTCACTTTGGTTACTTTCTGGGAAGAGCTTCTGCCTGTGCCTATAGTGGCTGCTGAACTTACTGTTGCTGCAGAGAATGTTGTCATTGTTGCCATTGTTTTCTGACCACCAACCTATACAAAATAAATAAATAAATTGAAGTTGTAATAAGTTTATACAAAATCTTTGAAAAGAAAGAACTAAAAAGATTGTGTTTTTACCTGGTTGTGATGGCTTGTGGAGTGCTTTAAGTTTGCCAAAGTAGAGAGATAATAAAAGGGTGAACATGGGATATTATTTTTTGTGAGGTGAATATGAGAGCAATGGATAAGGGGAGTGTTGAGATGGTTGGCTCACAAAGAAAATTGGATGAGGCATCTTATAGCTCATCAACTTGTAACACTGGCCAGGAAAGTGGGTGGGCCATGGTACTTTTGTCCAAATTTAGCCTAAAGAAGCAGCGTAATGGACTCCTTTCTCCTTTATTTTCTTAATGGAGATATTTCCAAAGTTGCACAAATGATATGTAAGCATTTAAAACAGAAGAAAATCAAATAATAGATGAACATTCAATTCAAATGTATATAAACCAGACTTTAGTTTTAACACCAATTTAACAGACTTTTAATTGTCAGAGCTTTCAATACAAACTAGATAAATCCTAAATATTTGACAACAAACAACACTACTTGTTACAAGTTCACTACTTGGAAACTAATACTTCATGGCAAATAAAGGCTTTTTTTGCCTTTTCCTCTCACAATCACAAATGCATCTGTCATCTTTTTCCACAAGATTCCACCTGCATAAACTGCGCCATCCGCCAGCTAGCCATATTCTACCATCCTTCCAATTTTTGAGTTTCGTCTCAAATTCTCTGTCAGCAGAATCGCGAATTATCATTCTTGAAGGGAGTTCAAGTTTGTAATCTCTCACCACATCAATTGAAATGTACTGGAATTAGGAAAAACGACTTTGTTAAATGAGAATGCTAGAATATTAAATTATAAAATCATTCACTAGAATATTTAGTTATAGGTTTTTCGCTACCAGTTGATCTCTCCTTTTTGCTCGTATTTTCGCTACAAAGTAAGGATTTTTTGGCTGAGTTGCGCATCCACTTTTGAATATATCTGCACCATATTGGTCGGGGATATCCCTCACCTTGCAAGCAGTGTCTCTTTTGCATCCAACTGAATCAAGAAAGTTAACAAGTCAGATTCACAAATAAAAATTTCATGCAAACTCAGTGATACACCATCCGTTTCATTTTACATGGTGGTATCTTATTGAACATGAACTTGAGAATGAAAGACGACTTTTGACACATATCAGAAGTGTTGATGTTTAACTTTATTCTTCCCTGCTGTTCCAAAAACTAACAAACAGTGCCCTTAGGCTCGTTTTGTCAATGAACCAAGCAACCAAACCTTTTAAATTCTTTTTAGCACTTGTAATCCTAAACATTTTATGGCATTTATATGACTACAAGATATCATGTATAAATATACAAAGATGTAGTTTTGTAGTAACATACTAACAAAAAGAAAAATTGAATTGTGTAGAAGATGAAATAGACGAGTAAATATAAAGATCTTTGATTTGTGTCGACCTTCTGAACGTGACACATTTTTCTTAAATGTACCAGTCCTTTCATCCTCTTCAGTTTCTTCCTCCTCTTCATCATCATTATCTTCGTCTTCGTCTTCCATGTGTCTGGCCACATCAACAACGTGTTTAAATAAAATTTCAGAACAAGATTGTTATGGATATATTTCCAATACTTGATGACTATAAACAACACGCAAATGATATATAAGCATTTAGATCAAACTTTACCCCCCCTGAGCATTTAAAACAGAAGAAAACCAAATAATGTTTGAACATTTAAATGTAAATTTACCAGACTTTAGTCTTAACAATAGTTAATAGACTTAATAGACAGAACTTATTAATACAAATTAAACTAGAACTTTTATCATCAAACAACAGTACGTAGTCTTAAAACCTACCAACTTATAACAGCACTTAAAGCCATAAAAATTTGAAATTCTATGTTAAGTAGCAATAAACAATTTTCTTATACCTCGTGTTGGAGTTGGAAACTGATCCTTCGTGAAGAACTTGAACTTGCAAGTAGAGGACTTTATTGCCTTTTCCTTTCACAAATTCGCAAATACACTTGACATCTTTCTCCACAAGGTTCCACCTGCATAACTTTGCCATCCTTCAGTTAGCCATATTCTACCATCCTTCCAATTCTTGAGTTTTGTCTCAAATTCTCTGCCAGTAGAGTCGCGAATGGTCATGCTCGATGGGAGATCAAAATTGAAGGCTTTAACCACAACAGTTGGAACGTACTGCAATTAGAATAATTTTTTTGTTAAGTGAGAATGCTATAAGATTGAACTACAAAATCATTCTCTAGAATAGTTATAGGCTTTTAATTACTAGTTGGTCTCTCCTTTTTGCCTGTAATTTCGCTATAAAGTAAGGATTTTTTGGCTGCGTTGTATGTCCACGTTTGAATATATCTGCCCCAAATTGGCCATGGCTGTGCCTCACCTTGCGAGCAGTGGCTCTTTGGTATCCAGCTGAATCAAATAAGTTAACTGGTCAGGTTCACAAACAGAGATCGCATGAAAACTCAGAGATACTTCATCCGTTGTATTTCATTGAACATGAACTTTAAAAAAGAAAGAAGATTTTTGGAACATATCAAAAATGTTAGGCTCATTTTGTTAACAAACTATATCTTTTAGAAACTTGTAGTCTTAAACATTTCAAGACATGAATATGACTACAAGATCATGTCCAAGTATACATAAAAGATGTCATTTTTTTACAGTAACATACTAACAAGAAAAGAACTGAATTGCATATAAAATGAAGCAGGGTGTAAATATAACGATCTTTAATTTGTGTCTACCCCTTTGAACATGACTCATTTTTCTTAACTATGCCAGCCCACTCATTCCATTATTTTCAGAATTTTCATAGTTTCCTTACTTAGTTATCATATAGCAATGAAGAATGAAGATAAGATGCAAAATTTAATACCAAGAAAAGCATGAAGATGGAAAATTTTCCTAAAAGAAGATTAAAGGAAAAACGGAAAAGGCCTAAAATACCCTCGAAGTATTGAAAATGATACACAATTACCCTCCATCCACCTATTGGCCCCCAAATACCCTTCACATCCACCTTTGGGTCCAAATTTACCCCTTCATTAACAGACCAAAATTAAAAATAATTAAATAATAATTTTTAATGACGTGGCACTCAACCATTGGTTATAATTTAATTATTTAAAATAATTTTAAACCCACCCATTACCCACCCATTTTAACTAAACCCACCCATTTTAACTAAACCCACCCATTTTAACTAAACCCACCTATTACTTTTTAAGTCAATATACTAGTGTTTATACTAATGGCTTTGATCTCAAGCTTCTGCATCTTTTTTTTGGTAGCACATTTTGCCACACCGATTGTGTGTATTCGCAACCCTATTAATCAAACACCTGCCCTTTTCGTGTTCGGTGATTCAGTTTTCGATCCTGGAAATAATAATTACATCAACACCACTACTAACTTCCAAGAAAATTATTTGCCGTATGGAGAATCATTCTTCAAGTATCCTACAGGCAGGAACTCCGATGGACGCCTAATTCCTGATTTTATCGGTATATTTATTAGCGTTTTCCCCAATTGTTTGAAAAGTATTAACTGTGGTAGACCTGAACATAATTGTTGGTTGTATTTTGCAGCTGAATATGCTAAATTACCATTTATTCCGCCGTATTTTGAAATTGGGAAGAAGCATTTGGTACATGGAGTAAACTTTGCATCAGGTGGTTCGGGTTGTTTGGCTGAAACCGCTCGTGGCTTTGTAAGTCACAATATTTCCTTTTAAACTTATTCTCTTACTTTTATGTAATTATTGTTTGAATTTGATAGTTAGATCAACTTTTTTATGAAATGTTTGTTTCCATTTGACAAGTTATAGATCTTCAAACTCAGTTGAAATATTTCTAAAATGTGGGAAAACTGTTGCAGAAGAAAGTGGGTGAAACAGAGTCGAAACAGATCCTCTCCAATGCTGTATATATTTTTAGCACTTTCAATAAGGATATGGTTGCCCCTTTATTTGCAAATTCATCTTTTCCATATTCCGATACAGAATATTTACAGATGATTATGGGCAACTTAACTTCTGTTTTAAAGGTAATATTGATCTTTTCTATTTCTTTCGATTTAATTTACTCGTTGTAGTTTTTATCAAATGAACAAGTTATGGTAACTATTTGTACTCTGTTTACAGGGAATTTACAAGGAAGGAGGGAGAAAGTAATAGTTTTTATCAAATGACCAGTAGTATGTTGACTTAAAAGTAATAGGTGGATTTAGTTAAAATGATGGGTTTAAAATTATTTTAATTAATTAAATTACAATCAATGGTTGAGTGTCACGTCATTAATAATTATTATGTAATTATTTTTAATTTTGGTCTGTTAATAAAGGGGTAAATTTGGTGGATGTGAAGGGTATTTGGGAGCCAATAGATGGATGGAGTGTAATTGTGTACCATTTTCAATACTTCAAGGTATTTTAGGCCCTTTTCCGAAGGAAAAAAATAGAGCAAGAAGTTAATACTGTTTCTTTTTTACAAAATTTGGAAGGTGGGACAAGACCACCATAATAATACTCCCTTGGTCCGAAATTGTTTGTTGAAAATTAATTTGATTAATTTTTAAAGCTAAATTAGATCATATAAATTTGATATTTTAAATCAAAAAATTAGATATTTTAAAACTATATAAAAAATACTATAAATTATAATATTTTGTATATTAATATGATCAAAAAATACATCTTAAATTGTTAGTCAAAATTTTTATGATTTAACTCTAAAAATAAAAACTATGACAAATAATATCGAACGAAGAGAGTAATAATGAAAGCAGCTAAAAATAGCGCCTGCAATACATAAAAGGATTGACAAATGAGCAAACTATACAGGGCAAACCACAGATTTTTATGGCGTTCAAATGTGATAAACTAAAATGCAAGACATTATGTTTCCTCCTTTTGAATATTAACTCTATATATAGTTAAATTGTGTGATTTAATATAAAAATATAAATATCGGAGTACGTATTATTTGCAAACATTATAATCATATTATATTTTTAAATGCAACTTATATATATATGGTTAATGTACATGATTTTATGATACCAGAACAGTTTTGTATTTGTCATTTCGTGCTTGATATCGATAATGACATATAATTAACTTTTAAGTGATATTAAAAAGACATAAAATTTCAACATCCTTTTTATCACCAACAATTTTATTGGTTCAATATCAAGTAATTTAGCATTGATTATCAATTAAGGAGTCATGTCAATGCTAAAATTAATCATCTCAGTAGCGGCTAGATCAAATATGTGTCTATTGCAGACATAAATCCCTTACTACTCACTTCCAAACTTTTAATAAATGTATAATCACTGTAAATTAATGTAAAATAATATTTATTGTATATGAAATACAATCGATATAAAATAAAGAACAAATTATAAAAATCACAGATCTTTAAGGTAAAATTATAATTTATCTCTTAAAAGTTTATAATTACAGAAATCCCTCAAACGAATACAATAATATAAATGCCGATGCATTAAAAAGAGGGTCGGGTACATTAATAGCCAAAAATCAAAACGTTGATATATTAAAAAGAGGGTTGGATACATGCACCGATACATTAAAAAGAGGATCGAATACATTAATGGCCCAAAAAATCAAAGCGCTGATACATTAAAAAGAGGGTCGAATACATTAATAGCCAAAAATCAAAATATTGATACATTAAAAAGAGGGTCGGATACGTTAATAGCCAAAACTCAAAATGTTGATATATTAAAAAGAGGACCGGATACATGCATCGATACATTAAAAAGAGGATCGGATACATTAATGGCCCAAAAAATCAAAGCGCTGATACATTAAAAAGAGGGTCGAATACATTAATAGCCAAAAATCAAAATGTTGATATATTAAAAAGAGGGTCAGATACATGTGCATGTGCCGATACATTAAAAAGAGGATCAGATATATTATTGGCCCAAAAAATCAAAGCGCTGATACATTAAAAAGAGGGTCGGATACATGATACATTAAAAAGAGGGTTGGATACACTAATGACATTTTTTACTTAAGAGAAAAATAAGGGATTTTGGAGATTTGTAAAACTTATAGGGGATAATGGTAATAAGTAAACTAAAAGGTGAGATTTTTGTAATTATTTTAAAAATGAATATGTAATATAATTTAAAATAAATACAAATTACAATTCTTTGTCACCCTCTCTTGATCTCGCTCACCTTTCTCCCCTATCTCTTGAGACCTCGCTTACCTCTCTACTTCTTCTCTCGATCTCACTCGTCTCTCTCCTCTTAATATGTATTCATTTCGATACAAACTAGTTTGTATTTGTATTTTTTACCCTCCAAAATTCATGAAATACACTTTCTCCTCTCTCGATCTCATATTTTGCTCGCTGTTCTCATCCTTCATCTCCTAACATTGCTATTATTCATAGTTAAGCGAGCTATAACTACAGAGCCCTATTTAAGGTCTAAATGTTTGCTATTTTGAAAAAAATCTCTAAATAAAAACGATACTAATTATGTTTATAGCAATTCAATAAACATAAGAAGCATATTTTAATACAAGTCCTAACCTCACCTTAACATTTCATCACAATCACTTAATGTAATTGGCAACAAGCTAAACACTAGAACAATAAGATCAATAAAAACTTTGTTTGTGAAGCTCTCACTTTTAGTATAGTTTGGTGAGTAAGATTAAATCAAATTTGCTCAATTCTTTTATCAGAATAATAACACTGATAAAAACATGAATTTTATGGGGGGAAAAAAAAAGCTTTTAGCATTATACAAAAAGTATTGGAAAAAAATATTGACAAAAATGAAGATTATTTTAGTCAATATTATTGTTATGATAAAAGAATTAATAAAATTTCCATTTAATCTTACTCATCATGCTGAACTAAAATAAGGAGCTCCAAAAGTAAAGTTTCTTCCTATTCTACTATTTAATTTGTTCGCTAAATTTTATTAAGTGATTATGACAAAATAATTCGGTGAGGTTAAGATTTGTATTAAAGTTCACTTCTCATGTTTATTGAATTGTTATAAACATAATTAACATGTTTTTTATTTATGAATTTTAACTAGTTTTATTATTTTTTTCTGTTTATCGTTATAATATATATATATATATATACTGGAATTAAAGTGATCAATTTCATTTTCTTAACATTCTTTAATTTTTTTAGAAAGATATCTATTTCTTTAATTTTTCTCAGTTATTTAATTCTTAGTTAAAGGAAACATATAAGACTATGATAAATAAGAATTGTTTGAAACTTTAATAAGTTGAAATAAATAAAGAAATTTGCCATAATTATTTTGACCTAATTAATAAAGTAGTTTTTTTTTTTGTAAGAAAAATATATGGAAAAAGATGTTGTAGAAAGCCGATGAACTACCTATGTGGGCGACCTCTTCTTCTTCTGAATCCAGTCATGACGACGGAATCCGGCCACGACGACGGTAAAATGATCGAGTCTTACTCCCGTGCGACGGTAAAAAAAGATTGAATCTAAGGATTTTTAGGTTACTAATTTTTCTTGTTTCTTTAACTGGTCATTCCTTGTTCTTGAGTTGTTGAATTAATGTTTTGCTGATAATCGTACTCCCTTTCTTTTTATGTTAAAGCTCGGTAAGATGTCCATGATTCTTGAATTCTTGATTGAAGTTTCCGGTTCTTTACTTCTTGAATTGATGTTCCTTAATTCGTTTTCTTCCCATTGTTTTACTTGCTTGTTCACATGGTTGTGGCCAGATCATTTCAGGTTATGCACATTGTAGTTTTTAGAGAATCCTAGTCAATTTTCTTTGGCATGTATCAGAAGAATCATCTCATTCTAAAGTGTCTTTCTAGGAGGCACTTAGAATGTGAAACTACTATGTGATGGAAGGGGGCTTGCTTTTCTTTCATCAGCATTGCATTCAGCTTTACAAATATCTGCTAGTATGTTTCTGCACTTCTTTTATATCTATTTGTGCCTTCTGGTTGCTTTAAATGTTCTTTCTCTATCAGGATCTCTTGTCAATTGCCAATGTGGCTGAGCAACATGAATGTGGGATTTCTTAGGGCCTCTTCAAGGTATATATTTCTTGAAGTTCGTTACGTCTTATACCATCATTTCATATAGATCTAGGCTGTTTTAACCCTAACTAATACCTGATTTATGTCTATGAAGAACTACTCTTTTGGAAAATCTTCTTCAGTGATTTTTCCAGCCAACATGTTTGTTTTCTTTATCTATGTGATGAGTCTGGTATTTACATTACCTCTATATACTCGTATACATGGAATGTGGTAAAAGGGTAGTCCTGTTGATGACTGCAATAAATAAATCTCCATTTAATGGCCAGAATAACTTGTACCGAGTTTCTTTGCATAGGATGCAGCGTGGGTATCTGATTCCAACTCCAGATAATGCTTAATTCTTGAAGTGAGTTGGGAAGTCTGCTTTGCTAAATTATAAAGCTTAAGTTTGAACAAAGTATTGTACTATTAAATCACAATCTGAGGCGACACACTTTGTTACTTTTCTTCACATCATATAATCTGCAGTCATGAACTTTAAGTAGTGTGCTTATTTAATTGTGTTATAATAGAGTTAAATTCTTAATTCACATATTGTTCCGTGTTGGAGAAGTACCATATGTATTATATTTGAAACCTATAAATAAATAGGCGTGTTGTATTCACTGGATTGTCAAGTTATCAATATGTTTTTTCTTGTCTCATTCTCTCACATGATATCTGAGTCCACCTTTGTAGGGTTTCCTCGTACTGATAAGTCCACATTCAAATACATGAGTGAACCCCAAAAGTTGTTACACATGTGGAAGGTTGTTGAGTTATATAAAAGTGGCGTATAAGGTCTTGACAACTTTATTTTTTTCTTAAGGTTTGCTCAAACTTTCACATGGCATCAGAACTCCTAGATCTTCATAGACCTCAACAGGGCAGTCTTATGCTGGTTTTCAGTCTAAGTTCCTTTTCTTTTCATAATTGTCATTTTCTTGTCCTTTCTTGGCACCACCACTTCTTTCATAATTGTCATTTTCATAATTGCCATTTTCTTGTCCTTTCAAGGTTACTGACTAGGAAAATTATTGTCTGTTCTTGGCAGGGATTAAGTAGAATAATTGTTTAATTGTTCTCCTTTCTGGTGTATTTATGCATAAGAATCCTTAATGGCACATTCGATCTGTCAGCGTAGTGAATAACTACGTAAGATGATTATTTTTTTTCCTTAATATACTTTTACGTCTTTCTCTGATTGCTTAAAAATGAACATAATGAGTGAGTAACATGGTATATGGTAGTTACTTAATTTGTTGTAATCTGATTGAACTCATCCTTTGTGACAGTTAACGTGGATGATTCTGTGGATGATATTGTGCGTCAATTTCGAGGCGTTTCTGATAGCTTGATGCGTAAAGTTTTCGGCTATCCTTCATATTCTTCTTATGAACCTACTACCTCTACTTCAGACATAAATTTGTTTTGGAATGTGGAGAAATACATAAACTGGCTTTAACACAAAGCAACTCTGAGTCAGTTAATAGCTTCTCTTACAATGATAACGGTGAAAAGATGGAAGCCACGGGGATGAGGAAGTAGGACCTAGTTCAGAAGACAATGGGTGGCATTCGGACAATGAGTTGAATTCAAAAGGATTTACCCCTTAGGTGGTTTAACGTGACGTAGAGCCAATAAGTTCTGCGGTGGACTTGAAGAATGGTTCTGTGCTCCAGCGTGAATTCTTCAGTTCTGGAGGATTCCCTGGAGACAAGTTTGGTAGTAGCTCCCAGTTAACAAGAGGTCCAGTTAACAAGGTATCTCTTACTTCTTCCCCTGTTTCTACTTCTTTTGAATGGTATATCTTCATCGGAAATTTATTCTGCTGAATACATGAAGGATGACCAATAGACGTACTACAAGACATCTGAACTAAGAAATTGTTTCTTATCAGAGGGCTGCTAGTAAATATATATGAGCTCATCTTTCTTCTGCATATTCGGATATTTTACTTGTATGAAGGAGTCGATTAACATGCTTTATTAAGGTTCATATTATGTGTCAGTCTGGTCTAATCTCATGTCTGGAATGCTCCCAGTTGGATTACTTATACGGTAGGGCCAGGGTTTACCCGAGGATAACTTTCGCTTCAGATATGGGGCAATGAAAGGGTGTTAAAGTGATTTCAGTTTTAGCATGAGATATTTACAAGTTAGGTTCTTGTCAGCCTTCTGAACAAATGATATCTACTGTATTTTATCTTATCTGATATATTTCAGTAGGGATGGCAATGGGGCTGGTTGAGTCTTAACCTGCTAAAATTCAACCTGCCCCACCCACCCTACATAGCTTTTTTTTCTATCTTCAACCCACTCGCTTCACCATGCCCTATTTTAGTATCTGTCATTTTTTTCTTCGTTTTGTTACTTTGCTAAAAAGACAAGTTTACAAATTATATATCCGGGCAGGGGAATTCTTGTACGATTGGGTAGAAAGGGGTAGATCATCATTAAGAACATGATTTTAAGCAAGAAAGTCTTACTTTGGTCGTGTCATTTATTGTATTTGGAATATAATTGATACAAGATTAATACATAATACAATGTAAAAAAAATGCAAAATACAATTCTCTCTCCACCCTCTCATTACCTCTCCTCTCTCCTTCCTCTGTAGATTTCGCTCGCCTCTCTCCTCTTAATATGTATTCGTTTTAATACAAAATCAGTTTGTATTTGTATTTTTTCTCCAAAATTCGTAAAAAGATACACTTTCTCCTTCTCTCCTAGGTTTTGCTCACCTCTCTCATCCCTGCTCCCCTAACATTTTGTTATTATTCATAAATAAGCAAAGTATAACTATAAAGTCTTATTTAACGCTTAATATTTGCTATTTTTGAAGGTTTCCTGTTGCTAATTATGTTTATAGCAATTCAATAAATATAAGAAGCAGACTTCAATGCAAGTCCTAACCTCACCTAACATTTCACCAATAATCACTTAATGTAGCATAACAATAAGATTAAAGTAACTTTTGAAGCCAACTTTTAGTATAGTATGATGAGTAAGATCAAATAAAACATTCTCAATTCTTTTATTAGAACAATAATACTAACTAAAACAACCTTCATTTCTTTTCAACAAACAACAATATTTTTAGTCTTCAAAATTTGTCAATAAACAACAATGCTTATTTTCATCAAATCTGTCAACACATAATAATACTTAAGCCCTAAAAATTAAAATGCTATGATAAATAGTAATAAACTATTTTATTTATTTATTGTTGCGATGAGAATTTGATCCTTCATAGAGAACTTGAATTTGCAATTAAAGGACTCTGCCACATTTTTCCCTCACAAATTCACTAATACACCTGTCATCTTTTTCCACAAGATTCCACCAACATAAATTGCGCCATCCGCCTACCAGCCATGTTGTTCCATTGCTCCAATTATTGGCTTTTGTCTCAAACTCAATTCCAACAGAGTCGCGAATGATCATTGTTGGAGAGAGTAAGTTTGTAGTCTCTCACCACATCAATTGGACATACTAATTATGAACAAAGACTTTGTTAAATTAAAATGTTACATAAATTATTCTCTAGATCAATATATAGTTATATAGCTTTTAGTTACCAGTTGATTTTTCATTTTTGCTCGCATCTTTGCTACAAAGTAAGAATTTTTTGACTGAGTTGTGCGTCCACTTCTGAATATATCTGCACCATATTTGTCATGCACATTCCTTACCTTGCAAGTAATAGCTTTTCAACGTCCAGCTGAATGAAGGAAATTAAGATCAAGTTTACAAATAGATATCCCATGAGAACTCACAAATACTTCATTTGTTTCATTGTACGTGGTGATACTTTATTGAACATGAATTCTATGAAAAAAGAAAACTTTTGGCATTATACCAAAAGTGTTAGAAAATGGTATTTAAATATATTCTTCTCTAGTATTCAATAAAACCTAGCAAAATATTCCCTTAAGCTCGTTATGGTAATGAAACAAAAAACCAAACCTATTTTAAATCTTTTAAAACTTATAGACTAAAACATTTCATGTCATTTATAAGATTACAAAATCATATCCAAATATACAAATACGTTATTTTTGCAGCAATGTACTAACATTTATAGAATTGATTTACATATAAAATCTAACAGATAATTAGATCTAAATATTTAATTGTATTTACCTTTTGAAGATTACGTGTCTTCTCCATCTATTTCATTCTCCTTCCTCTCCACCACTTCCTCTTCCGTTTCATCCTCTTTCCCTTTATCCACCTCCTCCTCTGTTTCTTTCTCCTCCCCCTTCTGTTCATTATTTTCTAACTCTTCCTTTTCCACCTCTTCTTCATCATTATCCTCTTCTTCTACCATATAGTTATCAGTGCTATCATCATCAAATGAGATATTGTTGTTATCTCTAGTCTTGTTTTTCTCTTTTGGTTCTATACTTTGTCGATGTTCAACATTTACTTCTTCCTTCTTGTTGTCACATTTTAGCTCCATTTTTTATACATCCATTTGGTCCAAGTAATTTTATGTCAACTATTTCATTGCCATCATAATCGAATATTATAATGTTTCCAAACTCTAGACTGTTGTCCTCGATATATTTCTCCCATCCATTCAGAAAATACAAATCTTTTTCTATTTTGATTGCTCTTACAGGCCACCACATATTGCTAAACTGATTCCTAAGGAAAACCTTCCTATGTTGCTTTCCATTCTTGTAATTTGTATATGCTGTGGGAATTTTCTGTGAAGAAAAAACATATTTTCGAAAAAAAGGGTAAAAACAATATTAATTTCTTTAAATTAGATTTATCGTATCATAAAAAGCAACAAATATGAGTAGAAAAAGTAATTTAAATAAACTCAAAGTTAGGGCTTTTTGATGTTAGAAATATTAAAGAAATAGAATACTTGTATGTGCATATCTAAATTTTCTCTCCGTATTCATTGCCCAATCTTCATAAAGTGTTTAATTTACACAAAAAATAATTAAAAATGGAGTTAGCAAAAATAATAAATCAAATACTTGTATTTGCAAATCTAAATTTCACCAAGACTTTTCATCTTTTCATATCCATTGCGCACATTTTCAAAAGAAATAAATTCAAGAAACTAAGTCTCAAAAATCTATTACCACAAGGAGAAAGTGTATTTACCATCCGTTTAGCATTAGTTTGAGGATTGAAAGCCTTGAGAAAACCCTTTCCCATGTTCACTTTTGTTGTCAAGCAATTAGAGAATAGAAGAACTTGCCACACAACCTAATTCCTATAAGCGCCTTTATATGTTGAAGTAGTGTCATTACTCAAGCATATATATATATATATAAATTGATGTCAGACCTAAAAGGTGTATTTATGTCATTTATGTAATGACATAATTATATATGAGTTTTTCACATATTTCACGTGGATATATCAAATAATAAGTCACAAAATTTTACGGTATATTTGTACATTCACCTTTATTTTATTGTTACAAGCGTTAAAAGTCTTTAAGCTTCAAGCAAAAGATCATATTTTTTGGATCCATGCAAAAGTTCGCACTTTCAACACAATTTCTAACACTTTTATCTTTTTTGGATCCATGCAAATGTTCACACTTTCAAACCAACTTTTGACACTGTCACGTTTATCTTTTTGGATCAATGCGAAATTTCACGCTTCCAACACATCTGATACCAACAATTTATCGTTTACTGTCACGTTTATCTTTTTTGGTCCATGTAAAAGTTCACACTTCAACATAACTTTTGACACCAACAATTTTAACTTTTTCTGTTACGTTTATCTTTTTTTGGATCCATGCAAAAGTTCACACTTTCAACTCAAGTTCTGAAACTGTTGGTGTCAGAAGTTTGTGTTGAAATTGTGAACTTTTGCATGGATCCAAAAAAGATAAACGTAACAGAAAAAGTTAAAATTGTTGGTGTCAAAAGTTGTGTTGAAGTATGAACTTTTACATAGACCAAAAAAGATAAACGTGACAGAAAACGATAAAATTGTTGGTATCAGAAGTTGTGTTGGAAGCGTGAACTTTTGCAAGGATCCAAAAAAGATAAACGTGACAGTGTCAAAAATTGTGAATATTCGCATGGATCCAAAAAAGATAAACGTGACAGTGTTAAAAATTGTGTTGAAAGTGTGAACTTTTGCATGGATCCAAAAAAGAGCTTAATAAGTCATAATGTCATATGATCTTTTGCGTGGAGCTTAAAGACTTTTTATGCTTGCAACAATAAAATAAAGGCGAATGTACAAATATACCGTAAAATTTTGTGACTTAGTATTTGATATATCCACGTGAAATATGTGAAAAACTCATGTATAATCATGTCATTACATAAATGACATAAATACACCTTTTAGGTCTGACATCAATTTATATATATATATATATGCTTGAGTAATGACACTACTTTAACATATAAAGGCGCTTATAGGATTTAGGTTGTGTGGCAAGTTCTTCTATTCTCTAATTGCTTGACAACAAAAGTGAACATGGGAAAGGTTTTCTCAAGGCTTTCAATCCTCAAACTAGTGCTAAACGGATGGTAAATACACTTTCTCCTTGTGGTAATAGATTTTTAAGACTTAGTTTCTTGAATTTATTTCTTTTGAAAATGTGCGCAATGGATATGAAAAGATGAAAAGTCTTGGTGAAATTTAGATTTGCAAATACAAGTATTTGATTTATTATTTTTGCTAACTCCATTTTTAATTATTTTTTGTGTAAATTAAACACTTTTTGAAGATTGGGCAATGAATAAGGGGAGGAAATTTAGATATGCAAATACAAGTATTCTATTTTGTTGTTTCTCAAATAGTTATAAATATTTTTAACATCAAAAAGTCCTAACTTTGAGTTTATTTAAATTACTTTTTCTACTCATATTTGTTGCTTTTTATGATACGATAAATCTAATTTAAAGAAATTAATATTGTTTTACCCTTTTTTTCGAAAATATGTTTTTTCTTCACAGAAAATTCCCACAGCATATACAAATTACAGGAATGGAAAGCTACCTAGGAAGGTTTTCCGTAGGAATCAGTTTAGCAATATGTGGTGGCCTGTAAGATTGATCAAAATAGAAAAAGATTTGTATTTTCTGAATGGATAAGAGAAACTTATCGAGGACAACAGTCTAAAGTTTGGAAACATTATAATATTCGATTATGATAGAATTGAAATAGTTGACATAAAATTACTTGGACCAAATGGATGTATAAAGAATGAAGCTAAAATGTGACAACAAGAAGGAAGAAGTGAATATTGAACATCGACAGAGTATAGAACCAAAAGAGAAAAATAAGACTAGAGATAACAACAATAGCTCATTTGATGATGATAGCACTGATAACTAACTATATGGTAGAAGAAGAAGATAATGATGAAGAAGAGGTGGAAGAAGATAATGAACAAGAGGGGGAGGAGAAAGAAACAGAGGTGGATGAAGGGAAAGAGGAGGAAGGAGAATGAAATAGATGGAGAAGACACGTCAGCTTCAAAAGGTAAATACAGTTAAATATTTAGATCTAATTATCTGTTAGATTTTATATGTAAATCAATTCTTTAAATGTTAGTACATTACTGCAAAAATAAAATATTTGGATATGATTTTGTAATCTTATAAATAACATGAAATGTTTAAGTCTTTAAGATTTAAAATAGGTTTGTTTCATTAACAAAACGAGCTTAAGAGAATATTTTGCTAGGTTTTATTGAATACTAGAGAAGAGTATATTCAAATACCATTTCTTGACACTTTTGGTATAATGTCAGAAGTCTTCTTTTTTCATAAAGTTCTTGTTCAATAAAGTATCACCACGTACAATGAAACAGCTTGAATATTTGTGAGTTTTCATGGGATTTTTATTTGTAAACTCTTATCTTAATTTCCTTTATTCAGCTGGACGTCGAAAAGCTATTACTTGCAAGGTGAGGAATGTGCATGACAAATATGGTGCATATATATTCAGAAGTGGACGCGCAACTCAGCCCAAAAAATCCTTACTTTGTAGCAAAAATGAGAAATCAACTGGTAACTAAAAACAATTATTATATATTGATCTAGAGAATAATTTTATGTAACTTTCTAATTTAACAAAGTCTTTGTTCATAATTACAGTATGTTCCAATTGATGTGGCGAGAGACTACAAACTTAAACTCCATCCAACCATGATCATTCGCGACTCTGTTGGAAGAGAGTTTGAGACAAAAGTCAATAATTGGAGTAATGGAACAACATGGCTGGTAGGCGGATGGTGCAATTTATGGTGGTGGAATCTTGTGGAAAAAGATGACAGGTGTATTTGTGAATTTGTGAGGGAAAAATGTGGCAGAGTCCTTTAATTGCAAATTCAAGTTCTCTATGAAAGATCAAATTCTCATTGCAACAATAAATAAAAGAAATAGTTTATTACTATTTATCATAGCATTTTAATTTTTATGGCCTTAAGTATTATTATTATGTATTGACAAATTTGATGACTATAAGCATTGTTGTTTGTTGACAAATTTTGAAGACTCAAAATATTGTTGTTTGTTGAAATGAAATGAAGGTTGTTTTAGTTAGTATTATTGATCTTATAAAAGAATTGAGAATGTTTTATTTGATCTTACTCATCATACTATACTAAAAGTGGGCTTCAAAAGTAAAGTTTTACTTTGATCTTATTGTTCTGCTATTTAGTTTGTTTACTAAATTACATAAAGAGTCTGTTTGGTATGAAGGAAAACATTTTCTGTGTTTTCCAATGTTCCCATGTTTGATTGGGACAAAAGTTTCGAAAAATGTTTTTCAAATCAACTCATTTTTTCCTCAAAAATAAGGAAAATGATTTCCTTCAAAAATTAAGAAAAATATTTTTCATAACTCTCCGCCAATTTTAAATTATATTTTTTTGGGGAAAAACATCAATTTAAATAAATATTTTCAATTTCAAAATTTTATTTTTTCACCTGATCCTTGACCCTTCCCCCACCGGCCAGCCCCCCCCCCCCCAAAAAAAAAACCTCCCCAAAAAATTAATTTTGTTTTTTAAAAATATTTTCAACTTCAGATTTTTATTTTTAAACTCCTCCCTCTCTCCCCCCGGCCAGCCCCCCACAAGTATTTGATATATTATTTTTTCTAACTCCGTTTTTTAATTATTTTTTTTTGTTAAATTAACACTATTTGAAGATTGGGCTATGAATAAGGGGAGGAAATTTAGATCTGCAAATACAAGTATTTTGTTTTGTATTTTTTCAAATAGTTACATTCTTAAATATTTCTAACATCAAAAAGTTCAAACTTTGAGTTTATTTAAATTAATTTTTCTACTCATATTTGTTGCTTTTTATGATTTGATAAATCTGATTTAAAGAAATTAATATTGTTTTTACCTTTCCGAAATTTTTTTTTCTTCACAGAAAATTCCCACAGCATATACAAATTACAAGAATGGAAAGCTACCTAGGAAGGTTTTCCTTAGGGATCAGTTTAATATTGTGTACTTTCACCAACATCATTTTATCAGAATTCGTAGGTCAATTTATTCAATCAAGTATTAGTTAATGTAAGTATGAACGTTAGCCAGCTATATAATAGTTGATGAATCATCCGTCGATACCATTCTTCTGTTCCTTGACGTGAACCTTTCAAAGTGCACATTAGTGCGCGTAACATTTCAATCTGTCGGATTAAAAAACTTTCTGCAACTACAAATTTCTAAGCACAAAATAGTCTCCATAGGGAAATTTGACTTTAAATAAGTTCCTTCACATTTGCGTCGTCACATTGTTACCCTTTACCTACCAGTTCCTAGCCCATACCCCTGAGATTTCTTATCAATGACAGTGTTGTTGCCGGATAATGTATCAAAGTTTGACTTCCTTATGGAAGTATGCTCCTCTATTCATTTTGTTTTTGGTTCGCTTCTTCACATAGGTTGCGTAAATGATGTGTTCATAACCAACTTTGTTCTGCTGTGAATTAAATTATAAATTATTGACATCTGCTTTCCCCATGGTGAATGTGATTTCAATGCTGGTTGTTTGTGCAATGTATCAAAGTCTGCCATTGCTTCATCTTCATATTGATTTTAGAGAATCATTCCATATTGTCTCATAAACTCTTTGAGCCTGATTTTCTTATGAATGTACTTGTCAAAGGAGGCTTATACTCTCCGACCGTTGAGTTGTAGACCTTCCAGCCATAAAACTGCCTGTCATGTAAGCTAGAATTCACTTTTTGCGGATCTCATACAGTGTCTGAATCCAGTCGTTCTTTTGCTGATAAAATCGGCTAACCATCTTCGACCCTGTTAAACCAAATTTCTCATCGGTTGCCAACTTAAATATACACTTGCTGAATTTTTTCATGAAATTCTCATGCAACTTTTCTAGATCAACGGGTATTTTTTCCAGCACATGCCAAACCACAAAACAGTGACTTGAACATGGAAAAACTTCTTCAAGAGCGAATCTGAGTGACTTATCTTGATCAGTGATTATCACTTTTGGAGCCTGTTCTAAGCCACGTCTTCATTAACCTCACACATCACTAGGCATATACTAATGTCAGTGTGTATAGCTTAAAGCCGTTATATAATATGAGAGGAAGATAGATTGATGGAACATACCAAATTATATTAGTCAGAGGTGGTTCCTCCATTAGCTTTGTATTTGGGGAAGGGCACCATACCATTGTCAATAAAGAAAAGATCACTCACAAGGATTTCATCTCAGGGGGTGACTGGAAAGAAGGGTGGGATATGTAGCGAAGTCCTGGACGATCTCAAACCTGGTGTTGAAAGGACAGATATCATGAATACTGCACCTCCAGATTTGTTCAAGTCAATAGAAACTAAAGACATTACATCTTTGAGGGAAAATGATAACCTGGAGAAGGATGAGGATGGCTCCCTATTTGAAAGCTCATCAGATTCCTTCATCAACATCATTTTACAAGTACACTCAAACCTTATATCGAAGAACAATCAACTATCCTGTTATTTTTTATTGCCCTCATGAAACTAGCGTAAGTGCTATGCCAATTATAATACACATATCTTTATTATGTAACACACTAGTATCCCTCAATAATTTTATCAGACTATAGTTGGATGCTTATTTAATCAAATTTGTATTATTTTCAGTTTCAACGCTAAATGTCTATAAAACATGTTTTTGAGACATCTTTAAAGATATCTTCCAATCTCAGAATTCAGCAAAAGTGGTGATGTAACCATTCAACCTTAACTTTAACATTTGTTTGCCAAAAATATCATCTGTTATCGCATCTTAAAACACTCTAAAATTGCAATTACAAAATTGTATGCTTAAAAAAGGTTACCTGGCCGACTCCAACTTAAAGTAAGATCATCAGCATGTATAAAATGTGTATAATCAAAGTTCATTAATTTATAAATATCAAACAAAACAGAGTATTAATTAAAAAAAAATTGCACGCTAAATCTCATAATTAAAAACTTCATTTTTATGTGGTCTGAGGCTGAATCATTAAACTATAGAAATTTAATCCATCATATTAGTGAAGTGTTTTCCCAACTTTTGACAGCGGCTATTTAGTTTAGAGGCAAGACAATTTCATGGACAATTTACGTAGCACCCAGTTTTTCCCTCCCTCTACCTGTAATTAGATTTATTTTAGAATAAAAAGTTAACAAATAAAAGGTTTTCCCCTTTAAGTTCAATCTACTCCAAGACACCCATTCACGTTAACCCCTCTCTGCCTTCCTTTTCAAACAAATAATTGATCTTTGTCTAACCATATGGCCTAAGTATACTCAAACGTTAGAGAGCACCAAAAAATGGAATGATGATGACTGAAAAGGGAACCACATTATAACACTTAAAAAACAGGTCAAATAATGCCGCATTATACAAAACTTCCAAAATTCAACACATTATATAGTCTAATATCACCCACCTAAGGCCCATGCAAAGAGCAGGTGGATTCCCTAGTATATAATATATAGGAAAAATAACTTAAATACACAACTATAATTTTTACATTCTCCAATTTTCCCTACTTTTTTTAAATATTACATAATTTTTTTTTTTAATTTTAGTGTAAGTTTTTAAATACATTACATTCTCTCTCTTATAATACACATTTATCCATTTTAATGTCTATTTTTTCTCCATTAAAACACTCAACCTCTTAATTAAATCAGTTTTTGAATTTTAAATTTTATCCATTTAAATACTCAACCTTTTAATCAGCTTTTTGATTTTGAATTTTTAAATTTAATTAATTTTAATTAAAAGACTAAATTTTGAAATTTTGAATTTCAAAATTAAAAAAAAATGAAATTTAAAAAAGTAAAAATATCAGGAAGCACGACAACTTCCATTAACTTCTACCGTCTTCTTCTTACTCCATCAAGTTTCAGTTCTTTTTTTCCTTAATCATCTTCATTCATCTTAACCCATTACATTTTTTTCTTTTCTTCTTTTTATTCATAATCCATCATCGTCTATTTCTTCCTAATCTGTAATAGTTTGAACCCAGCATCTTTTTATTATTAATCCATCATCAATTCGTATATTCTTCCCTTTTTTGTTTTTGTTAATTGTTCTATTACATCATAGTAATGGATCTGTTAATTAATAGAAGGATATATGATTCCGACGATAAAAATTGGAAAGAAAATAGGAAAAAGTCTTTGCATGATCCTATCAATCTTCAGAAGGATTCAAACAAAGACTCTGGCGAAACATCAAAATCAAAGGTTGTCAAAATACAACAAAAAAGGAAAAAAAAGCAACAAACATTATTGTTAGGCCTACATTGTCTCGGGTTAGTATTTTGGCAAAACCAAATGATACATATATACCAAACACACACTAAAAATAACTGATACATTGGCTAAACCGTATGTATCATGTACAATATGTTACCCTATAATCCTTAAATTTTACATGATATTTAGGTAAATTGAATAGCATATTCATATGAATTGGTATTATTTTTTAAAAGTAAAATTATTTACAGTATATTTCAAGAAAAGCATAACAAAAAAAGCATTACACAAGTTAAATTATATAAATTCACATGATACATGATTTATAGTCATTGTAAAGTACACAATAACCTCAATAATATTTTTGTATTTTTTATCTAATGGAGATGTATCATTGTGCAAACCAATGATACACACTAAAAAGTACATGATACATTAGATAAACAATGTGTACCAAAAACACACAATAAAAGTACATGATACACTAGATAAACCATATGTATCATGTACATTATGTTACCTAATAATTCTTAAATTTATATATCTTACTGTAGCATAAGATTTATAAAATTTTATATATTTAAAACAAACATTGACACAAGTATATTTATCAACACCAATAATAACAAAGTATTTATAATCAAAAGCACGACTTCAAATTTAATTACCACATGTTTGTAAGTTTATTTATCTAAACACAAAGTGTTCAATTTGCAGTTGTAATGAAAATTGAAATTCATTAAAATGTTTACGTTATAAATTATTCTTGATATCATAGAAACATTACGACTAATTCACTTCTCTTTTGGGTAGAAAGTACAAGTTCTTCTGTTGTGCCCTTCTTGTCCACATTGTCCACAACAGTTTGTGTTCACCGAAATCTTTTCATCTGCATTCTTTCTTCTTCTTTTTCTTGGTCGTCCAGATGATATAATCTTTGATATTTAGGTAAATTGAATAGCATATTCAAAATAGATGATATAATCTTTGATTTTCAAATTTTGAAATTAATATCCAATTAAGTGTTGATTTAATGCTGATTAATGATCTGTTACCACAGATTAAACTGTTTTAGTAACAACATTAACTTTACCGTTTTTCTCCCCTATTTTTTCTTAACAGTTTTAAATTACCATGTATCATTTATCATGTATCACTACAGTCTAAAGTATCACGGCTCAACAAATTTAAGGTAATTTTTGTAATTAGTAAACTTGTCGGGGCAGAATGTAATTATTGAATTACACTATGAGATTCCTTAAATTTATACTAATATATATACAAAATACAATTCTTTGTCACCCTCTCTCGATCTCGCTCGCCTTTCTCCTCTCTCTCTAGACTTCACTTACCTCTCTACTTCCTCTCGCGATCTTGCTCGTCTCTCTCCTGTTAATATGTATTCATTTTGATATAAACCAATTTGTTTTTTTTCCCTCCAAAATTCATGAAAATACACTTTCTCCTCTCTCAATCTCATATCTCACTCGCCATTCTCATCC